TACTGTGAAAGCTACAAGCAGCAATACTAGAGGCCAAGTAGTCGGCCTCTTCCAAACAGTTTACCATAAATAAACCATTCACAACAATGAATCCATGCATCTGGTCTCCATGTGGAAAGCTGTTAGCGGACACTTAAACCTTGCTTTAGCACTGATAGAGAATAATCATTTAATTCTGACTAAACTTAATCTTGAGCACACTGTTCTTTGTTTTATTCTGCTGTTATTCACTTTGACCAGACTGTAGCAAGTCTATTGATAATGAATTAGCACACAGCATTTCACCTTTTCCTCTTTTAACTCCTTCATTTTATCAGTCTTTCATCCACTGATTACAACTGTTTTGCAAACTGTCCGGGCCTCTTTTGAAGCTGCCTTGTCACTGTTTCGGGTGCAGTTCAACGCTCAGACCTGAACTCCAGCAAAGAATCGCTGGTGATTTCTTCAACACCACCAAGTGTACGCTATTATCTGTCCAAAGCAATGCAACTACGTCAGCTCCACAGCCGTCTGCATCACCACACAAGCAATAATGTGACGCTGGCCAAAATAAATGTCGCCTTGGGCTGCACTGTGATTGCATACACAACTGAAGCAAGAGTGTCTACTAATAGGTTGTTTATGTTGTACAGAAATGGAACCAGTAGCTATTAGGAACGGCAGGAAATTCAAAACGCTGAATTGTTTGTTCAGTGTGTGAAGTGAGGGAGTTAAGGAACAAAATTTTGATCAGATTTTCACGACTGTAAGGCACCGCTTTCCAAAGCTTTGTGCATGTACTGAGGATATTCCACTGCTAATTACCTGCTACTACAATTCATTGTACCCAAGAACCGGTTGTGCCAACACCTGCTGCAAGACCTGCATGTCTACCAACACAAAGCAAAACTCTGGAGGCAACGTTTCGACCTTGTGACAGCTGAGTTTCAGATTTGTACAGCAGCCATTCAGAGTCTGATTTCTAGCAAGGCAGGAGCACAACCTTTGTTTTTATATGCAGGCTTAACCCTGTTCAGAGCTTTTGGGCTCTTTGGACCCCAGGCCATTTGGTATAGGTAACAGGTATTGGGGTTTTTTTTAATTATTTTTGAAGATTTTTTATTTTTTTAAATATAAAAAGAGGGACATTTGTCATGTATTTGGAACCCAAAATAAGTCAACTTATCAGAAAATTTGTTTGGCATAGTGTAAAAGTCTGTAATGAATACCAACAAATATATGGACCCCGTATGGCAACATGAAAGTCCTGAATAGGGTGAAGAGAGCCAACTGGGTGAGGTTTACCGCAAAAGACAATAAACTCTCTCCCTCCTACAGTGCGTAGACCAGTCAGTTTACGGGTGTTGCTGACGCTCACAGGCCAGATTCCAAAATGTTTAAAGAACCCTGTTGCTCTTGGCTAATTTGTGAATATTTAATTCAAAAATCTGCACACAATATGTTCACACAAGTAGATAGAGGCATTTACAAAATGCAAACATGCAACTTCATTCTCAAAATAGCTTTCAAACTGAATTCCGACATGTAGGCACTAACAAACTGTGTGTGTGTGCGTGAGTGTGTGTGTGTGTGTGTTCCTGTGTAACACGGGCCTGACAGAATGTGCTGCAGTGTGTGTGTTTGTGTTACTAATATCAAATAGTTACTCACCAATTACAAAATGCCTCAACCTCTGATATGCTAACAACCACCACAGCCACATTTAAAACGTTTACCCACGTTACTTATGTAAGAGAACTTTATTGAAAGAAAAAAAAACTAAAGAGCAGCTGAGTTTTCTTCTGAAGCTCATAAGTCATCCAGCAAATGTCACTTGTTGTTCATTATAATGCTGTAAATTCTCATGGAAATGAATGAGGCATTTGATGAATGGTGGATGCTGCAGAAACAATACTGAAAGTTAGCGAGCATCTGCTTGAACTCTTTTACCCTTTCGAGGAAAACCACACACAGAGCAAATATCAGGTTCTCTGTAGTGTCACGGCAGATTTAGGTGGTGAACTTTGATCTACATTTTCCCCCCGCGGGCAGACAGACGCGCTGCTTTGGGCATGTCAGCGTCTGAAAATAATAACGCTTCTTTAGCAGAGTCAAGCACAAGGCACGGCTAAACGGCCCATTTAGTTGCATAAAGATTCGATGGATGTTTTAAGGTGCTCTGGTGATAAACCAAATCTTTGAACAGCAGCAGAAGTTAAGGAACGCCCCTCAAAGCTTAAAAGAAAAAAGCAATGATCAAAGCGTCAGAAGTAATGCTCTTTTAAATACAGATCAAAGTAGAACCATAGGCTAAAGATGTCTACTTTGCGGGTGAGTCTGACCTTGTTTAGTTTAATTCAATAAACAAATTCCATTATTAATTTTCCTTCATTTAGAAAATGATCACACACACAAGGGTCTCTCCCTCCATCTGTCACTGTGTTCGCTGTTCTTCTCTTCTCCATCCATCATGCATCATCACAAACATGCAGGACCGACTCCCCGAGGCTGAATCATACACACACTCATTATCACCTCCACATTCAGCCCTCGTAAGTCAGGAGAAGTGGGAGATGGAGAGAGAGAAAAAAAAAAAAACGAGGGCCGAGAGATCCCTCCAGCACCATTCATAAACTGCTTTCTCTCTATTCATTCTTGCTGCCGGTGTCCCCCCTCTCTCACAGAAACCTATCTGACGTCTCCCCATCAACAAATGTTTGAAGTGCTGATAGTTTCCTCCCACACACTCTGCAGTAGACCGAGTATTAACACCATCACACCAAACGTCACAACCCAGGCTACGGCTGTTACTATGGAGACACGCCGTTGCTCCGGTGACACCTAAGGGCGGGGCATTCGATGAGGGGGAAATGCCATACCTGTACATGTGGACATTTTGCCTTTTTATTCATGTGTTTCTCAAATATACTGACTCCAATGGTCATCTAAGATATGCATACAGAGAAAAACAGAGCACACATTTGCTGGTTTTAGCTTCTCAGTTGCTTTAATATCACTGCTTGGTGAGCATTTTTTCAGATTTGGACTGTTGGTTGAATTAAAAAAAACACTGTTCATTATTATGTGTAAGTAATTGAGGTACAGCTAATTCAGTTCATGAAAAATAGTGAAAGAATCATGAGGTGCAAGCTTAGATAACACTGTAAACTCCAAGCAAGCCATAGTGGAAAATATATGCAGCCCACTATTGGATTAAGACGTCTATTGAGTTATGTCAGATATCTTTAAAATCCAAGACTTACACTCTTAAAAAGCCTGACATACCAGAGTTTCTACTGACAGGACTCCTGGAGCATTTTAGCATCGCAATATGTCTAAATATACATTTCACAAGCAACACTGAAAACTCTCTCTATCTCTTATACATTACACTGTGGTGTTATCTACAAATCCAGCCCATCTCAAAATAAAATACACAAAGCTTTTCGCATGAGTGTAGTTATCTGCTCTTGAAAATCTGGCCTAATATCTGAGCAGGCTACATTAGATAATCGTACGGGTCACTGCATAACCACATGACCAGCCTTCACATGCTATTCAGAGCTAAGGGGTTAACGCACTCACAGCATATTTTCACACTTTTTAATGTGGTTTAGATTCGACAGATACATTAACCATTACGTTTACTATCAGTCACACTTGTAGCTTCTCGTCACAAGGGGCAAAGCAGGCCCATAGTGTCTGAATGCACAGTGGTAAACCTATTTTACTTGGCGGAAGAAGTTAAACTGCAATCCATCAAGTTTTTTCCTGTTTTTGATGTGAGGCCACATTAGCAGATTAAGTTTATTTTTTTACACATTTTCCACTGAAAACAAATGTTCTCTTTTGTGTTTATTAGTCTTAACTTGGGAAGCAGTTTCCAAGTACATCAGGACCTGTGATCCGTGTTTCCAACAATAACAAGAGCGACGCTGTCAGTGGAAAGCACAACGTACTCGAATCTACCTGCCTCTTCATCTTTTTGCATATTCTTGAAAAAGGCTCTTGCTGTTATTTAAGGACACGTAGACACGCTTCTATAAATAAGAAATAATCCCAGCCGTGAGAGTTTCTGCTGTAAAGTGCAGAGTCCATTCCTTAGCTATTGTACGCCTTATCTTACTGAGTGAGCGCTCACAGTCGGTCATTTATTGTGTTTAGCCGGGCTGCTAAATACAAAAGATAAGTTTTAAAAAAAATAACTTTTCAGGGGACATTTTACAAAAGAAAAAAACTAAGGAAATCACTGACTTCACACTATCATCACTCTTGACCAGTTTAAGAAGTATTTCGTTGACAATATTGGACATTCATCACTCGATGCTGCTGAAATGGTGCATTTATTTCCTACCAGGACTAAATTTAGAAACATATAATCCAAGTGAATGCCATCATTGAGTCCTTATATTCATATAAACACCAGGAACACATATGAGATATCCAGAAACTGAAAACATGAGTGACTTTTAGACACTTTGAGGACTTTTGTTGACTATCTGTTTACTGTGCTTCTTAAAAGTGTTGCTGTTCCTTTTCATTAGCGCTCCTCCTCCTTGGGGGATGGAGAGTGGGCACTTATTATGAAATTATTTGTTATGAAATCCTTTGAGTGTGCCTGTGTGTCCTCAGTATGCCCATTAGAAAAGGCTACTTGGTCACTAATGTATTATCTGTGGATGGTAAATGTGATGCACAGTGATCAGGACTCATTCTGCATGAACCAATCAGCCTAATGACTAGTCAGAAACATGCAATGGGAATTTCCTAATAAAATAATTTAATGTTTTAAAAAAAAAGGCCATGTTGTGATGTTTTTTTTCTGCAATCTCTTTAAAAATCTCCCCTGACATGAAGCCTTTGTGGGCCCTTCTAATAAACCAATAACAAGAAGACACACATTAGACAACATGCACATGCAAACTGCCCGTTTACTAATTAGCAGCTACAGTCTGACGAGCAGAAAGCCACTCTGTAAGCTAAAAACAAACTTATTTTATCCAAATGAAGCGCTCGCTTACCCAAGACACTATGCGGAGAACGGTCTGAGGCTGCTGGAAGAAGGTGACGGGGTCGAAGGCTCCTCCGGCTTTCCCGGCTCCGTATGCCTGCATCCCCTCCATGGTCCTCCTCCTCTCTGCACAGCCTCCTCTCTGGTCCCCCTCTCCTCCCCGCTGCTGGTTCAAAGGCACAGGGGTGTGTGTGGAGCACCGGGACACGGAAAATCCCCGAATCTGCTCTTGCCACTACTACGGCTGCTTCTGCACGGATGGATGCACGTCCCTGACAGGCTCCTTGGCGCACAGCCTCCTCTGGTTCCCTCTCTCTCTTCGCTGTTGTCTTTCTTTTTTTTTAATTTAACCTCTGAATCCCCCTGTTGTGCCTTTGATATCAGGGCAGAGGAAGCTGCTCGCCACTGTTTTGATGATGCTTTCTGCCTCTCTTTCAGCGCAGGAGCCGGTGGCGACCACGTGAACGCGCCTCCGTTGTCACGCCTCGGATGGAGCGCTGCCCCTCTCAAAAACATTGCGAGCACGCGGAAATGTCTGTGGCGGGAGCGCGCCTGTGCTCACAGGATCGCCACAAGGAGTCACGCGCTTTCCATTTGAATTTTTTGTTTTTTGTTTTAGTGTCAAGTGGACAAGAAAGGGCGAGCAGGAAAACAAGTTGATTAAACTGGGATGATATTAAATTTATATACGTCAAAAAATGAAGGGCCTCCATGTGCATGTTGGTCTGCATCAGGACACGTCTATCCGTCTGAAAACCACTGTTAAAATCTTAATTCACATTAGAAAGCGACACTAAAACATTATAACACCTCGAAACTTCTAAGTCCATGTCAAAATAAGTAATTTGTGATGCTGCTGCAAGAAATTCCGCCCTCTAGTGGTCTCACCGTACTTTGCTCATACTTGCGAGGTTCTGCAACCTTCATGCACACGTTCTCGTTCAGGCCGTCATTACTCCCTTTATACTGTCGTGCCCTTCCGACGAGCTACACAAGTTTAATTGTTATGTAATATTAGTGCTGCTAAAAATGGCGGCCGAAGCGAGCCGTGCCTGACAGACACACTCAGGAGCAAAATGCCCGGAAACGTTCTTCCTTACGTCCTCCCGATCAGCCAATAGGAGCACAACGAAGCGGCGCACGTGTTCGTTGACTGGACCAATGAGACACCTCTGTGGTTCGTTGCTAAGAGACGCGTTGTGTTCATGTTGCTGAGGCGCAAGGAAGAAAATTTAGACGTATAGATAGCTTAAAACAGAAATACGGCCCATTTAGCGGTGAAACAGTAGAGTTTACCCACAGTCAGTGGAAGTTATTCGCTTTAATGGTGAAGCTGAGGGCGAGGTGTCTGCTTGTCGGTAAGGTTTTTGGAAGTTTAGCCCATCCTGCTATCTGAGGTTAACGGTACAAGAGCTAAAGCTAACCAGTCTGCTACGAAACTTCAGTGAGATCGACGGAGGTGTTCAAAGCCTTGAGATACATGCGTGTCTGATACGTTTCTAAGTGTACCATAGGACGTGTGTATGTTGGTTCAGTGTGCAAATCCGAACAATTTAGCTCTCAACTCTGCAATGCTGCCTAGCTCACAATGCCTTGGATGTAACTGTCATTTACTCAAACCAGCTACTGCGAGTAGTAGATATTTGAACCCAGAGAAATGTGACTTATCGTGTCTATACTCTACCAGATAGTTGGCATAACCAGTATTCAAACTCTGCTGAACCAATATGAAGTAAATCAATTCATTGAAGTCCTGTTACGTACAATTCTAAGGGACTTATGCTTGAGTATTTTTATATTGTGCTCCTATCTGTTTCACGTCATTTTAGAGGGAAATGCTTTTACTTCACAACACTGATCTGACAGTTGTTGTTACAAGTCACTCTACAGCAGATTGGGACTTTTAAAATAGGATATAGCAAATGATGGAATTATAATGAATTGTTATGCCATAAATTAAGCCATCTGACAGCATATAAAATGAGATAAATTAGTTCTGCTTCAGTCAGCTACAACATTTGGATGCTGCTTGCATGTTAATGCATCACTAACAATAATCAAATTGTATAACATATACAGAGAGAACACTGACAGAGCCCCTTTATGAGTGTAATAAATCATTTTTGTCTTTTGGGCGCATTTTGCTGGTAATACGTTTTGTTCAGTAAGGTTGGAAATGTATTGCTTTTACTTGTAACTGGGTATTTTTATATTGTGGTGTTGCTACTTTTACTGAAGTGCCTGACAAAGAAATGAAGGTTATTATGATTTTAATCAACCAAGCAATCTTTAAACACAGATTTAACACTCAGTTATGTACCATCAACCACTGAAAAATTAGGGATTATGATGTAAACACAAACATTATAAAATTCTTTTCTCTGTGTGTTTTTATTCCCCTGTGTGTATGTGTGTAGGAGATGCTGCAGTGGGAAAAAGTGCCCTCTCTCATATATTCTACAGCGATGGCACACTCTTCCAGAAGAACTACAGCATGGTGAGAGTATTGGCACTTAGTCAGTAAAAGGTTGATGGCTTGACCTCTGGTGTAATAATGTCAACAACAAGGGCGTTCAATTCCAGATGTACTGGTGTATATGTGGAGTATTCTGTGCAACAAGCCTCATAACAATGCAGATATATTGTATTGTATTCCCATCACGCAGTCAAAGCAGAGGGATGGAGTTGTAGAACAACTTGTTGAGGGATTTAGAGATTGGGCTGTGCTCTATGGCTAGCCACAGGCTTATATTTTTATATTCAGGTTGGGTAACTGAAGGTTTGAATTGGGATTGAAGGAGCAACTCATGAAGTTTAATTCTAGCACACTGCCAGCACAGAACCGACAGCAGTATGTTGAGAATAACCTGATCTGCATGCTATGAAGTGCTGCAGTATTTATTTAATATTCAGTTGTTCGGTCCTGACCCAAGGCATAAGTGTGCGCTTGTAGTAAATGATAAAGATTAATAATAGTCACTGATAATCATGATCTTAATAATATATGCACTTTCTTCGGTGGAAGTTCTTGCAAGCTTTTCAAGGACCTGCAGAGGTCTCCTAAATCTGCTACAGGAATCACTGTAGTGCAAAACAGCATAATGTGCCAATTAATGCTGATGCAGGGAAGGCTAATCTGCATTATTTATGCTAATCTGCATGAGAGAGGGAACCGTGTCATTAACCTGACTCTGTGATATATGGGGTCATGGCTACTCAGTGATTCCTTCAGTCAATGTTCCAAGGGCTTCAGACAAAGCCCATACATTGCAAATGCAACAGAATGCAGAGGCAGTGCCTGCACTGAACATGAATACATACTGGTGAAGCTGTAATACATTTCGTTACAACCTGCACACATTCACTGAGTGTACTGCTAAGCCGTGCAGCTGGTTAGAGTACAGAACGGGTTGGTGAGTAAAATACTGGACAAGAGCCAAGTGTGTGTGTGAGTGTGTGTGTTTGTTCAGCTCTTGCTGTGTCAGCAGTATTGGGGGTTCTGAGGTGACAGGAACGTCGATAATTAATACAGGAGGATTCTGGAAAGCCACCAGAACAGGTACTTAACAAGCAAACACACACACACACACACACAGTACAACAACAGTGTTGAGTTTCTCCATACTGCATAGGCTTATGCCCACTTGTTTGTGATGCTGTGTGTGTCTCTTCATGTTGGACTAGCAGAGTATTAACAAAGTGGAAAGAGGCAGCAATAGAGCTGCATTCTTAATTTGCACTGGCCTGGTATGTGTGCTGGCTGAATTCCAGACAAGCCTTAACACATCTATACTATAGCATAGTATGAAAATATCCAAAGAAATGAAGAGCACACAGAATTGTGTTAAAATGTTGATGCAATATAACAATTAAGAAAATGAGAAGCGGTGTCATATTGATAGCAAGTGGAGGCAATTTAAGGTTTGCAGTTGTTCCTGTAAATCAAGGCTCTGTGTCCAGTGGACACCACTTTATTAACTGGATGCACTGAAAGAAATGCTCCTGGGAAAGTACTGGTCACAGTCTCTGCTGTTGCTATGCAACTGTTAAAACACCTATTTGAAGCCAGCTACTTGCTTGATATTAGCTGAAATATTTTTAACTCACTTGGCGCCAAGTGCTTCATGTGAAAGGAACTCCACTCTCTAAAACTTTGAAGCTGCTCACTATGAATTTTTGATGCAGGAGTTAGAATGTATATTCATGTTGTAATTAAATCAGGTTTCTATATTGGTAGCCATCGACTATGAGAACAGTTTGGCCATAAGCACAACATCTGAACAAGAAATATCAAAATCTAATTGGATACACTGACAAAAAATGTACTGAGCTCCTTCCAAGTAATTGTGTTTGGGACACTCCAAAAGCTTTTATTTGGTGCAATCTTCAGACTGAAATGTTAAGATACAAGACATATTCTAATCTCATTTTGACTCTAATTGCTTTGACGTTAATTTACTCTTTTTCCTATATGTTGTTGTCGTCCATCGGATTGGATTTTCTCTTTAAGATTTCACTGCTCACGGAAACAGGGGACGGTGTGTCTCTTCCACTGGGACTAATATGAAAAATAAACTAGTGCTGTGAAGAGTTATTCCTTGTGCAGACGCCCAAGCCATCCCTAATGTTCTTCAACTTTTGATTTTGAAGGGTAGCGGAGGCTGTCAACCATTCTGCTCACGTCCTCCTTTGAAAATGTCAGACGGCCTGTTAGCAATATTCCAAGCTTATTTGTTACTAATAGGCCCTCATTGACATTCCAGCGAGAGGCTTCCTATGCATCACACTAGCTCATTAGACCGCTCTGAAGTGGGACTGCAGCAGGGTCTGTATGTGTGTATGTGTACCACCGGATGCTTGTTATTAACTGTGTCTGTGTTTGAATCAGGTAAATGTTGGTCTGAGGTGTGTGCGTATTTGTGTTTCGCAGAGGCAGTGAGTGTGAAAAGTGTGTGTGTGTGTGTGTGTGTGTTTTCGTGGGTTTAGTCTCCTGCATTTGACATGCTTAGTTAAGTGTGAGCTCAGGAGATCAGATCAATTTAGAGTTTGATGCTGATGTGAGGAAACCTCGACTTGCTTCCTCAAGGTCACCACTGATCACATACCAGTGAGTATATGGAGGGGAAAGGCAGCCTGCAACCATCCAGTCCACTTAGGACTTTGTTAGATCTTGCATCTTGTAAAGACGGTGCATTTGTGATGAGACCAAAGTTCTATCCATATCCTTGGTACCCTCTACTGCCTGCATTTTTAGCTCTTTTTATAGCTACCTCTATTTGCCCTGTATTAATTCCTTGGAAAAAAAAAATCTCAATTACTTATGGATGTAAGAAAATCCTCTGCAGTTTTTCTTACATCAAGACAGTTTGACCAAAGTTCAAGTAGCTACTTTTTCACTCTCTTGCAATTGGGGGCTGATTCCAAAACACATCTGCAGCTTACAACATGCAAAAAAAAAGAACAGAAAACAATGTCTGTCATTTTAGTGTGCCTGTGTCGTCTTTGATCATATAGCTCCTTCAAAGTTCAATCCATATTTTGCAAATGTTTTTTTTTGTTTTAAAGGTAAAACAGCTGTCTGACTGCAAATTATATAAATTAGCAAAGTGTGGCTTTTTTCACTAAAGCATGCATAGCAACTCTTTTCATATAAAGAACCACATAAATATGTGAAAGGGGATTGCTCTGAGTGACACATTCAACAGGAAATTATCACCCGAGTCAATTTCCTCTCAGCTCTAGGGAGCTTTCTGGGGTCTTTTTTTTTTTTTTTTTTTTTGGCTCAAAACTTTACTGTTTTGTTACACTCTGATGTCATCTTTGGCCAAGGTGTTCATCTGTTCAACTAACACATTTATTCCCATTTGATACACTGCCAAATCACTTGTTATTCTGACCAGTCAAAATTAAAACAAAAAACAGTGAAAACAGCTTGTAGGCAGTGATCTGCTAAAATGACCAGAGAAAAAACTACAGCCAGACCACTGTACTTAGATTTCCATTAACCATTATGACCCTCACTAATTGTTGTCCCCCCCAAACAACAACAACAACAAAAAAAGCATTTATCTTTCTTGAAAGAAAAATAAGACTGAGAGTAATGGAGATACAGCAGAGGCAGTTTGGTCAGGATTTAAACATCAGGACTGTGACGCTGCTTTCAAGCTAAGCCAAGCTGCTAATTAGTGATGCTCGTGTTTTGACATTAACCATACATCACACCAGGCCGCTGTCTGCGCTGCTGTGTGCAAACAGCAACCGTCTGACAACCAAATGTCTCTTCTCTTCTCTTCTCTTCTCTTCTCTTCTCTTCTCTTCTCTTCTCTTCTCTTCTCTTCTCTTCTCTTCTCTTCTCTTCTCTTCTCTCCTCCACAAAAGGTAGCTGTTGAATGTATGTTTGACAGCCACACCCATAATGTGATAGCTGCATGTCGGGGAAAAAGTTAAATCAAAATGTACACTTTAAAAAATGTGGCTGAAAACACAGACAATAAGACTCTATTTTTAAAAAGACAATAGGGTGGAGGGATTTTTTTAGAAGCATGCAGACAGAATTAGGGATTATGACGGAGGAAAGACATTTCCTGCACACTTCACAAGGCCTGTTTAGCTTTACATTGCATAAGGACTGCATAATTAACATCTCAGCTGTGTTTGCTTTGCAGACAACAGGAGTGGAGCTGCTAATGAAATGTGTCAACATCCCAGAGACCAACGACAGTGTGGTGAGTCCAGCCATTGTCTCCGCTTCTCTTTTACGCTGCTGATTAATTTAATCTGCAACCTTGTTGAACTAAATGAGATAAAAATAGGCTGAATGCAGCTGGTATATTTCTCTACAGATACTTTATTAAGCACCCAACTGTGGTTTGGGATGCTTCTCTATTGTAAAAGTCTTTACATTATAGATGGTGCATATTAAGACCCGGAATCCATCACTCAGTGTGGAAGAAGTTTTCCCAGACTGTGTTCAGTAAGCGACATGAGAGCATTGTAGGAGGAACATTAATGCCCTTGCCAAAGAAAACAGGAAGTTTAAACCAGCTCATTTGACGATATAGAAAACCTTTTCCCTTTCTGTCTCTTCTTGTCTTTCCCCTCCAGGAGCTCTACATCATAGACTCTGCAGGGAAGGAGACATTAGTGGAAGCCTGTGAGAAAATGGTGAGACTTCTCCACTGGATTTTTTCCATTTAAATTACATTAGTGAATGTCACCATCCAGACGTTGACATCCTCAAAGTACAAACAAAGGAAAGCATTTATTTTTTCACAAAAGTAGACAGAAGTAAGCTGTTGTGATGCTAACCCTGCCTCTCTGTGTGTCTGTCCTCATTCCCTACAAACCTACACAACCTTTCCCACCTCATCATCACCCTTCCTCTTCATAGTGGGGTAAACCTTCACTGCTCTGCCTGGTTTTTGACCTGACCAGTGAGCAGTCTTTTGCCAACTGCAGCCGCTGGATGGAGAGAGTCCGTGCCCGCTGCCAGGGTCTCCAAGTTCCAGGTAACAACCACGAATAGACAAAGAAATAACACCAGGCTGACAGTGATTGTTAAATGGTAGTTTGACCAAAACATGTAGACAGGGTCCACAAACTAGGAAGAACTAGGAAGTGGAATTTGCTTTGCTGTCATGGAGTTTCTATTTTTCTGCTAAAGTGACATTTCTGGAAAAAATAAGGTTGGTTTGTCAAAGCAAAAATTTAATTTCACACTCAGGAAAGTTGTGATATAGTACAGAGTTCCTGTGTAATTTTTAAATGCAGTCAGTTATGTGACACACTCTCAGACTTTAGTGAACATGTTGGGCTTTACACCTTTCAAATAGTTCCTTAAAGGATGAAGATTTCATTTGCTGTCAGTCTAAGAGTTAGACTGGAACATCTCTAAAGCTCACTATGAGACACAGCACATCTTGTTTGTCACACAAAAATCAGGTACAGCTTTTAGTTAGTCTCAAAACCCATACACATAAACTGATGCAGGAAGTAGCATCCAGGAGTGTAAACCCATCCACGTGCACACTTGTGGTCCTGTGAGCAGGGAGCTGTGATGAGCACGCTCAGGCCTCCCTACACACTCCCAACAGTTCAACAACTCAATCAAAGTTGACTTTTGAGACGTAGGAGGCCGGACAACGGCTGATAACTCCGCTCCTCTGGCTGGTCACTTTCGACGCCCACAGCCTCACAGTGGTGGAAGAAGTACTCAGAGCTTGTACTAAATAAAACACAAGATTTTCTCAATGTAGAAATACTCAAATACTTACTAAAGTATTTGCATCAAAATATACTTAAAGTACTAAAAGGTGATGTACTCGTCATGCAGAGGGGCTTATTTTTCAAACAATCTAGTTCTACACTTACAGTTATTGATGAATGAATGAGTTCATCTCTTTGATGCTGCAGCTGGTGAAAGTAGGGCTTATTTTTAATACTAACTGCTGGGTAGTTTATAAATATCCCCGGGGGGATCGATAAAGTTTCATCTTGATCTAATAATGAGGCATCATTGCGGGGCTTTTCAACAATAATAGGCTGCATCATAATTTATTTGTTGATTACATCTTGTATTACTTGTCTGACTAAGCAAAGTAACCAGTCATCATATTGATGCAGAGTAAAAAGTAAATTGTCGTGAAGTGTAAAGCAGCAGAACACTCAAGTAATGCACAAGTGCACTAGTTAAACCATGGCCCTCTATTTGTACAATGTCCTTGAATGACTTTTTCATGATGTAAGTAAGTCCTGACATCTGTTACATTTTGTGTCGTAGCTGTTATCTTTCTGTGTCGTATAAGGCCCGGGTCAGAACTTAACATTTTGACATGATCAGTAATAATTGTTCACCTGGTGCATGCAGTTGCTGTGTGTCCATTCACTTTCCCTCAGGTTGTGGCATGTTAATTGGGATTTTATTTTATAGTCTTACTTTAACCATTTCTAACACCCGGGATATATTGTTCCTTATGTCTGTGAAGATTCTCAGTCATCCAGGTCGTGGTTATCCTCATAGATTAATCGTAGCAACTGGACTTGCTTGAGTTCTTTGAAGACGTTCCACCTCTCATCCAAGAGGCTTCATCAGCTCTGACTGACTAGTTGGGAGTTCCAGATACTGATATCCTAAAGGAGCCATAAACACCTGAGTTTTTGAGAGAGGGGTGAAAGAAGCCATCTATGTCAAACTGGAAAGACCATCACTCAACAGAGGTGGAGGTCTGAGGCATCATCTCTCACCTGTTTACAATTCAGTCCTAAGATCTCTCCCCAGGAAGATGAAACCACATGCACACCTAGTCACAAAAGACCCTAACGAACCCCTTTGTGGCAGGGGGAGCAGTAACGACTCACATAACGAGGGGGAGGAGCAACAAACCCCCAACTGAAACCAAAACTCAGGTGTTTATGGCTCCTTTAGGATATAAGTATGTGGAACTCCCAACTAGTCAGTCAGAACTGATGAAGCCTCTTGGATGAGAGGTGGAACGTCTTCAAGGACCTCAAGCAAGTCCAGTTGCTACGATTGATCCACCAGAATTGTTCCTTGTGCTTTACTGTATAGAGACACTTTGTGAAGTGTACATGTTGTTTTCAGGAGGTGGAATAACACATGCCACATTTGTTGTCTGTGAAGATTCTCAGTCATCCAGGTCACGGTTATTCTCGTAGTTTAATCGTGGCAACCGATGAAGCCTCTTGGATGAGAGGTGAAACGGTTAAACTACGACAATGACCACATTTCTTATTGAGTCATGCTCATTTGTATCTTTTCCAGGTGTCTTGGTGGGCAACAAGTCAGACCTGTCTGCTAGAAGGGAGGTGCAGGCATCCGTGGCCAAGGAATGGGCCCAGAGCCAGGGATTGGAGTACCACGAAACATCGGCCGTGAGTGTATCACAATATATTGTTTTCATTTGCATACAAGGGGATATTATTGTGGGTATTACCGTTTCTTTATTTGGAGGATGGCCTGTAAATAGAAGTACCCATTACCAGTGATGTCCCTTCTTTGTCTAAACATTAATTATTGTCTTTTTTATGTTTGTCTCTTACAGAAGGAGATGGAAAACTGTGACGCGCCTCTCCTCACTTTGGCCCGGGCCTTCCACTCTCTCTACCAAGAGCGCCGTGAAACCATCCAAAACCTTAATCCAGGCTAGACCCACCCCCTCCCACTCACACACACACACACCTTGACTTTCACCAACAGGACATCAGGCAAAAGATATTCATTCAGAGACTTTATTAGACTGAGGGTTATTGAAGCTTTAGTTAGATAACACACGTAAGATGAACTCTTTTCTATTGCACCACTGAAACTGCACAACAAGCCCAGAATGACTTGTTTGGGATAATATTTTAATATAACTGCAAATAAAGTTGTTTGTGATAATCAGTTGCGTTGTCCCTTAGTTGTGATTACCTCCAGCTCACTGTAAAGGAAAGAGCATACCTCCTCTCTTCTTCTCTTCTCCTCTCTCTGGATTGTTTAGCCAGGACAAAGGTGTGAGCTCACCATTATTTATTGCCTCTTTTCCTCCCATTTCTAAAATTTTATTTCCGTCTCAATGTCACTTTGTTCCTGCTCTCAACTTCCTCTTGTGTGCTTTCACCTCTTTCTCATTTGCTCCGTCGCTTCTACTGTGTTGCTTTAAAAAAAAAACAAAAAAAAACTCTTCCATCCTTCTTTCTGTCTCTTCTTTTTCCAGTCCTATATCTTCCTCTCTGTGTCTGTCTTGCTCTCTCTTGTTGTGTTAACTCCCCCAGCTGCAGCCCTCTCACATCATTTCAGTCATGTCCCCGGTGCGGCGCAAACAACCAGTAATCACCGTTCTAATTAGCGCTCTCCCATTCAAACCAGGTCAAAGCCACGTCCTTGTTCTCTCCCTGCCTCTCAGACCAGCTGCCACCATTCAAACGAGGGCACGCCGGTTCGAGCCAGACACAATGGTTTTTATCTCATTATGCACCACAAAGACTGACTGCGGCATGTAATAAGAGAGCCTCCGTCCTGTTTCGGAAATGTGGAGTCCGAATGCATTTTCATTTTCTTCCTCTCGCGTTTTGTTCTCAAATGCTTTGGAAAATCACAACATATCTGGTTACTAGATGACACACGAAATCTCTGCAACTTCACTCCTGTAAAATGAAAACTGATTTGTAATGAGGTTCTTTACAGATTCTGCGTTTAACAACTTGTAATTGTTATTGCAGCACAATGTTTTTGTACTCCTTGAGTGGGTGATCATAATTATAGCAATTAGGCTCTTTATCCTTCTCATTCTTTCTCTCCTCATTGTTTTGTGTCTGTAATGTGTGTGTGCTTGTTTTCTGTCTTTCCCTTTCAACAGGCATATAGATATACACAGAAACAATGGCAATAAAATGTTCATATAAATGTCCGTAATGTGTGAGGCACAGTCAGCTACAGTTGTTTCCTCAGCGCCGAGCCCATAATGTAATTACACTCACACACACACACACTTTTTTTTGTGCTTGCGAGGACACTCGGCGGCATAATGCTTTCCTTGAGCAACCCTTTGAAGCTGCGAGGAGGGCGGTCCAAAGGGTCCTCACAACAGTGGTTCCGAACTAGGATTTGTTCACACACACACACACGAATGCGTAACTTCAGCAGTATCCCTTCAGTCCTCTATTCAATTTAAATGGAGCGTCATGCCTCGGGAATATCACTTAATAATACCGCAAGATAGAGTGTGGGCTGTTGCTTATTGCTTTGGGAGAGAGTTCATTTCCACAGATATTGAAACGGGTGGTCAGAGATCACAGAAATGTCAAGCTTGTGGCTCTCTAGCATGCCCCATCATCAGTCCCTACCCAACGCAATCACTCACTCTCGATAATTAGCATTCACAACATGTCGGCAATAGACCTGTAACGCGGCAGGAACAACTGTTGTTCAGCCTTTAGCCACAAGAGAGGGCAAACGCGGTCACTGCCACTCCCCTGCAAAGCTGAGAGGCTTGCAGCGGGCGACTGAGGTCTATTTCGAGATGTTTCTGATGTATTTTAAATATTTTAAAACTGCTCATGGCTTACATATTAATGCTCATATGTGACTTTGGGTGGGTGACTTTTTAGAACATACCACGAGTGCTTCTGTTTTCTCATGCGTGGCACTGAGCTGCTGCTGCTGCTGCTGCTGCTGCTGCTGCTGCTGCTGCTGCTTTTTCAAGTGATCAAAAAGGTTTCTCATTTTCAACACCAATATGGATGTACTCAGTTTAAAGGTGTATTAGAGGGACGGTTGCGAGAAGGAAGTAGAGCTGGACATGGTCGTGTTTTCATAGTTTTTATGTAACACCATCAAACTCTACAACCGAAAAAAAAAAACGTTTAGGACATGCACTAATATGTAAACCGTGCAACCTTGCTGCAGCTTTCAAGCAACATTGCGCCCATTAAAAGTTATTGTGTGAGCCATCCATCCATTATCTATACATCACTTAATCCTCACTAGGGTCATGGGGGGGCTGGAGTCGATCCCAGCTGACTCAGTGGGAAGGCAGGGGACACCCTGGACAGGTAACCAGTCTATCACAGGGCTACACTTAGAGACAGACAACCAAGCACACTCACATTTACACCTACAGACAATTTAGAATCACCAATTAACCTCAACATGTTTTTGGACTGTGGGAGGAAGAACCCGGAGAGAACCCACGCTGCACGGGGAGAATATGCAAACTCCTGGGTGTCCTCACCGGAACCGGCGACCTTCTTGCTGCGAGCCACCTTGCAGCCCTTACTGTGTGATGATATTCAAAGATATGCCAGCTCTTCCTGTGTAGAACACGTGCCGCCTCACAGCTGGGAGACGCAGCAGCTTGCCTCGTCATGGTTTGATCGTCGTCATGGGATGCCTGGGGTTATTGGGTTATGCTATTACAATGTTGGCATACATAAATGTACTGTATCGTGAATGTATGTCAGTCTCATAAAACCAGGACAGCCGACATTCTACATCCGTATGAGGGATATGTTCCTAAAAGGGTCCCTGTATCGTACTTATTAGTGCAAAACATTACTGTGTAAAGAAGGGGTGTAAACACACTAGAACCCATTTTTGTGTGAAAACTAATCCAAAAGTTTCAAGCGCTAGATGTTGTCGCCCTACATTCTGTACAGCTGAGTGGTGCAACCCAAGTCTGTGTGAGCTAGGTCAGACACTGCAGAGCCTCAATCCATGAGCCACATTTATGTTATGTTAACGGGTCATTTATGACTTTATATTTCACTGGTTGCTGCATTGAAAATCTTCACAGGCAAACGGCGAATACACACTTTAAGCACTAATTGCTAGGTTTGGATAAAACCTAATTAATTTATATTTGGATTACCTAAAAGGCCGCCATATGTTCCCATTTTTCAAATTATGCTTGCTGTGCTTTTTTTTTTTTTTTTTTTTTTACAGCTAATAAAAATGCGCGAAGCATGTTTGGCCATCAGACAGGGACTGCATTACAGAATTGATAACTGCAGTTGGCAGCAGCGTACCAACCTGTTCGTCTCCACACATCATATTTGTGCAAGGTCTGAGTCTGCTTTGGGACCTCAGGACGTTATTTCAGCTATATTTCACTGCAGTGCTCTTCACCCAAACAAACACTAACGCGGAGTTTTGTATTCATGACACAGCCTGAGCAGAGGGCGAAGAGTTCCAGCTCATATCTTCCACCTACACTCGCTGTTTTTCTCTTTCTGTCCTGTCGCACTTTTCCTGCATATCAGCTCTCTGTCTGTCTGGTGACTTTCTCTATGAGGAAATCTGTTTCCAATCCTTCACACTTGTAGTTTTTTAGTATTATCAGTTTAAGCATGACTTTTTTTTTTTTTGCAATTTCCGACCGCTTTAGCATCAAGCGAGACGCCACACAAAACTGAAATCAAGCAAATCTCACAGACCCAGTTCAAAGGATTCCTCATAACGTAGTAGTTTGATTAAATTTAAAGAGGACTGACCTCAACCTTGGTCCGCTTTCTCTCTCTCTGGCTGTGTGTAGCTGCGTATTTAAGCATGGCTTGTTCCATAGCCCCGAACTGTCCATGACCTAAAAAGCTTGCTAATTGCAGGTGAGGGAGGACACAGCAGCTGTTCCCCCAGATCTGCTCCCCTCCTCTCTGAACTGCAGCGTGACAATAATCAGCCAGAACGCCTCCAAGCTCACCTGCGTAACAACAGGAATCTTTTTATTTTATGCCATTTCACAAATGTGCTGCCATTTCCAGAAAAAAAAAAAAAGTATGATAGCAGCACTTACATTTCTACATTAACCTGCATTGTGCTACAAGGCTTAAGATCTGTTAAACTCTGCAACAGATCTGAAATTGTAAAATGGCCAGCAACATCTTAGTTCGTTTTGTTGGTTTATGATACTTGTATTTACAACTTATAGCGCCTGAAAATTAGCATGGGAACCAGACGAATCTGAGAGCTCGTTTGTCATTTGTTTCAATTACTCTGGCAGAAGGTGCCTGGCCCCTTTCCCATCCGGCCTCGCCTGCACTGGGCCGATCACAGCAGTTTATCTAATATCTAAAAGAGGAGCACCATTGAGACCAAATGGCCGGAACTGAAAACTGAAGCCAACACAGAAACTGCAGTTCTTTAATTGACCACTTGAGGCTCCCTCCAAAAGCACGTCAGTCCCCATAGACCTCCATGTTAAAATGCCCAACTTAACAGCAGAACTTAACATGTTTACAGCCTGGTACAAGAAACGGTTTTGGTCTCTACAGCTCATTTACCGTGTTAATGAAAGCTGTACAGGTGATGAATTAATATTATTATTATCTCCCCCATTTATATTGTATTAAGGCCTAAAGACCACTTTGAGCGACAGGTGGATGCCATCTTAAAACAGTTGCAGGACTTGTCTCAGCTCCACTCATGCTTCGCCTCTTTGCTCATTGTTGGATTACTGAAGTAATTGTAAGTAAAATGAGTCATTCATTGCAAAGATGAAGGCCAGGGCTTTAAAACCGCCCTCAGGAAAATTATGGGTGACATCACTGACGGTTCCTCCATCTTTATATCCAGACCAGACGTTTTCGTGAACACGTTTCGTTCCTCTGATTGGGCGTAAGTCTACCTACTTGTGTCCACATACGTCTGATATTGAAAATCTGAAATTATTTGAGAGGTTCCGAACTGATTCGCACCTTTGTCCGGTGATGGCAGGCTACAGTAAACCAGTGGTTCCTAAATAGTTCATCAATATGGTAAATGTGCTTTTATACACTTTTATATGTATTAAATTTAAAGCCTTCGGTTAGTAAACTTGCCTGGAAGCCAAAACCTACTGAAATCCAAAAATAGCGAGTTTTTCTTGCTTAATAATCAAGTAATTAATAGTTTAACTCTCAGGTTCTAATA